GCAAGAATAAGTTTATTTGCGGACAACGTTATAATTTTAATTTTCATACTGCTTTCTTGATATATGATAGCGTAGCGGCTTTTGTATTGATTGCCGCATGCATCCTTATGTAAAGTGCGAATACTGTAACTACCTACCATATAGTAATTTTTGTAGCTGTGACGTGGTCGAGTGGAATGAGTAGTCATGCTCACTAAAATGTCCAGACATGTGGCGGCGTGGTGGGCCGGGTTATTGGGCTCCCTAAAATATGGTCGAGCGCAGTGATGGCTGGCTCTTCCGTCATACTGGTGAACGAGTGCTGCTTGTAGGGACTGGTCTGCTCTTATCACTACGACTGATTTAATCTTATTGTGTTTTTATATTTGAGCCTAAATAAATTAGTGCTGGTTGGTAGTTTGTATTCACACGTTTCGACTTGTAAAATGTGAACTTACAAGGATTGTTTAAAAGAGCAACACACAAGTTTCTTGCTTATTCTTCTTGTGATGAGGCAGCTTTCCGAATAAGCGGTAGATTTAAAAAAATGTTGACTATTCAAAAGTGCTTAAATTAAGTTTATTTGAATAAATGATTTTCTAGTCTATTCTATTCTTTCTATTCTAAATGTTATTTTATTCTATTTTATTCTTTCTACTATATGTAATTGGTTTGTATTTATTAGTTGTAATTTTGTTTTAATTATTATCATTAATATTTTAAATAGTGCCCTCTCTCTCTCCCCCTTTTATATATATATTTTTGGTGCCACTGAAAACCAGCTGTATGTTCACCTAGGACATACATTAAAGCTGAGTGGAGCCATTTCAGTGCATTTTTGGATGTTAAAAATGATTATTTTATGTTTATTTTTAATTATCTACACGGTAAATTAAGTTTAATTATATGTACATTTTATTTGCTCTTTTTTTTCGTTTGTTGTTTATATTGACCGCTTTACGACCGATGGTCGCGGGTTCGATTCCTCGCACGGCACATACATTTGTATTTATGAGTATGATTGTTTGTATCGGTCTGGGTGTTTTCTATGTATAATATGTATGTACTTACAAAAAAATATCTATGTATATGTATCAGTTATCTAGCACCCATAACACAAGCTCTAGCTAGCTTAACTTGGGTCTAGATGGCTCTGTGTGAATCGTCCTGAGATTATTATTATTATTATTATTGTATTTTTTACATTGCACTGAATAAAATATTTTTCTTTCTTTCTGTCGTAGAGCCCTTGCATTTTCTCATAGACCCCTGGGGGTCGATAGTCCACTTTGGGAATCACTGATTTAAAACATCTGCACTCAAGAGACTGCGGCAGTCTCATTTATATAAAGATTGTGTGGCTTACTGTCTGAGCGAAGTCATTCCGTTGATGAATGTAAGAGCTCAACTTTCACAGCTACAGAAATAATCATAGAACTAGTCTCAGGATCCATCTGCGCAGCTTTTCTCATATATATAATGTACTAATATGATAAAGACATACTAATATTTTATTCTTTCTTTATAAAGGATAAACATTTTTAATACATTTGAAATGGCAGACAACCTTAAGGCCCGCCTGATGGTAAGTTGTAACCAGCGTCGTTCATATTAATAATAATAGATAAAGTCCACGTGCAAGGGAAAATAGTTTAATTTTGGACTGGACAATTCACACAGCGCCATCTAGTCTCAAGTTAAGCAAAGCTTGTAACAAATTTCATTTTTATTTTCATTTCATTTCGTAATCGACTGATACAAGTACTTATACATTTTTTATACATAAAAGACACCTATACCGACACAAATAATCATATTCATGAATACTAATGTTTGTGCCCTGCGAGGAATCGAACCCGCGACCATCGAAAGTAAGGTAGAGCACTGAGGCAGTCTATTATAAACTATTGAAATGTACATTTAATTTTTATGAATTAAATAAAAATGTTGCTGTTTACCACAAAAACATAAAAAATAATTGTAATCATAAATAGAGATAAAAAAAAAATAATACGAACCTACTATCTCTGGCTGTAAATCTATACATATAAATAAAATTGGAGTGTCTGTTTGTAATATTGAAATAACCGTTTCTTACTACATGCATATGAATATAAATACGGCACACAAACAAAAACTTTTTACAATTTTAGTCTGTCTGTCTATCGGTCTGTTTGTTCCGGCTAATCTCTGAAATGGCTGGACCTATTTTGACGGGACTTTTTTTGACAGGTAGCTGATGTAATAGGGAGTAACTTAGGCTACTTTTATTTTAGAAAAATAAAGTTAAATTCCACGCGGACGAAGTCGCGGGAACATTAATAAATAAAAAAACCGTCGCCTATACACCTGAACAGCACCACGGTCATCACGTTATCACGTTATCACGTGACGCCCGTGATACCACTCATACATTGCTAAGACTAAGATGGTCCGTCTCTTATTCTGTGATTTTACTGCGATGTCCCACTGTTCTACTGAAATACAGCTTACAAAGTCAGCTGTTTGGCGGCTGTAGTAGGTAGATAGAGGTAAATATTCAAGTCTATATACCATAGAAACAATCATATGGCACATTTGATGGTAAATGGTTACCGTAGCCTATGGACGCCTGAGACACCAGGGGTGTTACGTGTGCGTTGCCGACCCTTAACATACCTTTCTTGAAAAACCCTATGCTGTAGTCTCGGAAAACCTCGGCAGGCAGTTCATTCCACAATCGTGTACGCGGGAGGAAGCTCCCCTGAAACCGCACTGTCCGAGTCTACTTAGGTTCCAACGTGTGGGGATGAATTCCCTGTCGATGGCGAGCGGTGCGATGGTAAAAGGTGGCCGTAGGCGTCATGTCGGACAATTCCTCAGAACACAGTCCGTTGTATAATCGGTAGAACACACAAAGCAAAGCGAAGTCTCGCCTCAAACTAAGTGGCTCGTACCTCAGTACATATATTTATTATACATATTCCACAAGCTGTGTATTCAAATGTGTCATAAAATATTTTCTTTGTAAAGTAGTCTATTATAAAATTTAAGAATTTATAAATGATAATAATGTTTTTGTAGAAAATATCTAACTTAAAACTCATAGCGCTGACAATGTTATTTGATTGAACAGAGATTAAGTGCGTGCGGTTTCTATGTTGATTGTCGCATGCCTAATCCTTGTTGTTAATTAAATATAAGTAAATCAATATTTATTTAAAAGAGCAACACACAAGTTTCTTGCTCATTCTTTTTGTGATGAATCTGCATTCCGTAGAAGAATACTAAAAATTGACTATTTACATAAAAGTGCTTATATTAAGTTTATTTGAATAAAGATTATTTCTATTTCTATAAGGAACGTAATAAAATAATTAGATTTATATCATTACTAACCCGCGTGAAATTTATAGCATATAAGTTATTCTGATGTATAAGCTATATTACTGTAAAGTTTCATCAAAATCCGTTCAGTAGTTTTTGCGCGAAAGACAAACTTCGCGTTTATAATACTAACTAGCTTTTGCCCGCGACTTCGTTCGCATTTATCTTCTTAGGGGTGGAATTTGTCAAAATATTTTCTTAGGGGACGCCTACGTCATAGTAGCTTTATGCATGCAAAGTCTCAGCCCGATCGGTTTAAAATTGACAAAGTTTCATACAAACTTTCATCCCCTATTTTATCCCCTTGGGGGTTTAATTAATCAAAATCCTTTCTTAGCGGATGCCTACGTCATAACACCTACCCGCATGTCAAATTTCAGCCCGATCCGTCCAGTGGTTTGGGCTATGCGTTGATAGATCACTATGTCAGTCACCTTTGAGTTATATATATTTAGATAAGATTAAAACAGCACTCGTGCCCAGCCAGGTAGGTGTGAATTTGTAACTTCTTATGCATTTACAAATTGAATCAGTCTCTTTATTCATGTATGTCTAATACAGACAATTGTGATCAGTCGACTATAAACGAATCAACGGTTTCATGTGGTGATTGTACTCTCATGCACTTATATACATTTACTAGCTGTACACGCGACTTCGTCGAATTTAACTTTAATTTTCTAAATTGAAAGAATTTTTCTAAAATAAAAATAGCCTAATTACTCCTTATAACATCAACTACCTGCCAAAAAAAGTCTCGTCAAAATCGGTCCAGCCATTTCAGAGATTAGCCGGAACAAACAGACAGGCAGACAAATATTGTAAAAAATGCAAGATGTTTCAAATCTAAAAAAAGAAGTTACGGGTAAACTCTAATTATCATCAGTACATATATATAAATAAATAAGTATAACATTATTATATTTTCATCGTAAAAACGTTATTTTTTTTATAACACAGGGGACAAACGAGCATGCGTCTCACCTGATGGTAAGTGATTACCGCCGCCCATGAGCACCAGCAATACCAGGGGAATTGCAAATATGTTGTCGACCTTTTAAAGCGGAATAACCTCTTTTCTTGAAGGTTTCAATATCGTATCGGTTCCGAAATACCATTGCTGGAATGTGATTCCACAATGTGGTTGTGCGAGGCAAAAAGTTTCTAGAAAACCGCACTGTGGAGGACCGCCATTCATCCATGTTCAGGATGGTAGTTTAGGAAATAAATAAATTATACGCCGATAAATTATTACAATTTACTGTTAAATTATAATTGTATTAGTATTATGTAGTATTGAAATAAATATTTCTTTTTAATTTAAATAAAAATATATAAACGGCAAGGTATAGTAATGTTATATATGTTGTTTTCTAAATCTTTTACATTACAAGCCATAAAATCCTGGAATGATTTACGTCTTGACATAAAATCCAGAACTACCAAATTCATATTTAAATCTAAATTACGCCAATATCATTCCCAAAATCAGAATAATTCCTTTGTTGTTATTTAAAATTAGAGAAGGAATTATTCTGATCTTGCTCCGTTTTATATTTTAACCCGTGTTATAAAAAAAAAGTAATAATAAGTAATTTATAAGTTGCAGTGAAACATGTTACACTCATAAATGGAAATATTACACATATACTTACCAAACAGCAACAGCAGCAGATCACTGAGCGCCAGGCTGAATAGGTAGTAATTGGTAGCAGTGTGCATACCAGGGTGTTTGACTATCACCACACAAACGGCCACATTCCCCACCACACCCGTCAGGAAGATCACCAGCAGTACCACAGATATTGGTATGATCTCCTGAAGTGGTAATCTTTGGGGTCCCATCATCCACCATAGCATCTCCTCCTCGCTGCAGTCGAAGTAACTCAAATTCGTGCATCTCTCATAAAAGTGTTCTGGCGTTTCGTTTACACGTAAAAATGACTCCATCTTGAATTGTTTATTATTTAGAAATGCTATTCAAACATTATTTTATCACTATTAAGTATAATTACAAGAATTATATAGATTTATCACTAATTTAAAACCACTAAAATCTACTTCAATATTTTATGCAAACTTAAGTTATAAACATATTAAATTTACTTATATCAGTTTAAAACACAATTTCTTTATATTTTCTGTCAACGATTACGCAATAAAGTATAAAATTAATTATTCCTACAAAGTTAAATTTTTTTTTAGGAAAATTTCACTTGAATATTTGCATCCGTCAAAGTTCGTAGCTGTTTCGTAGCAAGTGCTACGGAGCAACGCGACCGGCTGTTCTCGCTACTCGGCGATCACTGAATAGAGCGTTTCAGGATGTAGTTCCCTGAACTGTAATAATTTACTGAATTATTAAACTGTCATTTGCTTATTGTCAATAAAAAAAAAATACAATTCAAATTCAAAATCAGAAATAATTTATTCATGTAGGACACTTTAGCCGATTACGCACGTCAAATTTTTACATTATAATATTAAATTTTTCCCCACCGTCCAGTTCGGTATATAGATCCAATTGAGAAGAACTGGCAAGAAACTCAATTGAATTACTTTTTTTTTTTAAAGCCAGTTTATTTACAATGTATATTTATATAGGTGTCTATGTCTAACATTAAATGAAAATCCCGTGCATGAACAACTATTGCCATGCACGCTCGTCATTCAAGTAATCGTTTAGTGAGTAATAGGCTTTGCTCAGTAAATATGATTTAACAGATGTTTTGAATTTATTTAAGGGTAATTCCAACATATCCTTTGGTATCTTATTGTAAATTTTTAGACCTATTCCCATAAAATACCTATTAACTTTTTCTAAACGATACCTGGGGACAGCCAGTTTGTCTTTAAATTTAGTATTAATATTATGAATATTGCTGTTTTTTCGAAACAATAATTATCTATTTGTGAAACATACTTATAAAGTTTTTTTATGCAATTGTAAATGAAAACGAACTAACGGCTCGTTTCATGAAAAGTGCCTATATATGATATCCATTGCGCGATTCAAATAAATATATCTCTTATATATTTGACGTCCTCATGGGTCGAGCGGTTTAGAACACCGCTTTGCTTCTGATAGATGCGGGTTCGGTTGCTCGCGGTACAAACATTTGTATTTTTGAGTATGATTGTTTGTATTAATGTTAGTGTTTTCTATGTATATTGTGTATGTATTTACAAAAATATGTATGTCTGTGTTTATATCAGTTGTCTAGTACCCGTAATATACACTCTTATAAAAAATATGTATTGAAATATTTCTATCCGTTATCTAACACAAACTTTATTTAGCTTGGGACTAGATGGCGCTGTGTGAATTGTCCAGAGATATTGTTATTACATGTGCATAACGCACCTTTTTTATATATACATTTTGTTCCATTTTTATTTTTTCTCTTATTTATATCACGTAGGTGGCAAACAAGCATACGGCCCATCTGATGGTCAACGGTTATCGTAGCCTATGGACGCCTGAAACACCAGGGCTGTCACGTGCGCGTTGCCGACCCTTAAGAAACCTTAATATACCCTTCTTGAAAAACCCCATGCTATAGTTTTGTGAGAAAACCTCGACAGGAAGTTCATTCCACAATGTAAGTGTACGCGGGAGGAAGCTCCTCTGAAACTGCACTGTCCGAGACCACTTACGTTCCGGCGTGTGGGAATGAATTCCCTGTCGATGGTGAGCGGTGCGATGGTAAAAGGTAGCCGTGGGCATCATATCAAACAATTCTTCTTTATTATCAATTTTGAAATATATGTCTTTTACGACCGTAGTTCCACTTAACACTAAAAATAAACTCTTTAAGAAACCTCAGTCGTTTAAATTACATGAACCGCGCAATGAACATCAGACATTAGCCGGAACAGACAGACAGACTGAAAAAATTGTAAAAAATGTTATTTCGTTGTATGTACCGTATTTATTTTCACATGCATGTAAAAACGGTTATTTCAATATTACAAAGAGACACTCCAATTTTATTTATATGTATAGATTATATTTTACTTTCGTTGGATTTTCAAAGGGTAGCTCTTGAAAGATGCGATTTGAGCAAACAAACTCCATCGAGGCTCACGAGTAGCATTGGCCTGGGGTCACGTCTCCGCTCGTAAACGTGAGTAAACACTTTCAAATAGCTAATCTAACACAAGTAGCCATTCGTAAACAGTTTGTTTCTTTTATCACCAAATTTTAGGTTCATTTTCACTTTGATTCAGTCCTTAAATTCAGTAGTAGATGCATTATTATTTTAAATATCAAATATTAGAACTGAAATTGAACAAATCAATAAAATTTGTATGTATAATAATAATGACCCTAACAAATATATGACTCTATTAATACAGCGTCATCTAGTCCCACGGTAAGCAGAACTTATGTATCTCTAAATATATATAACTCAAAGGTGACTGACTGACATAGTGGTCTATCAACGCACAGCCCAAACCACTGGACGAATCGGGCTGAAATTTGGTATGCAGGTAGATGTTATGACGTAGACATCCGCTAAGAAGGGATTTTGATAAATTCCACCCCTAAGGGGATAAAATAGGGGATGAAAGTTTGTATGAAACTTTGTCAATTTTAACCGATCGGGCTGAAACTTTGCATGCATAAAGCTACTATGACGTAGGCATCCCCTAAGAAAGGATTTTGATAAATTCCACCCCTAAGGGGATAAAATAGGGGATGAAAGTTTGTATAAATCTTCTTAGATTTTCGACTGATTGAACTGAAATTGAAGCTACTATGATGAAGACGTTCTCTTAAATAGGATATTCATAAATTTAACCCCCATGGGGATAAAATAAGGGATGATACAGGATGTAAATCTATTAGTTTGAACCTATCAGTACCTAATGGAACGAATAAATTAACACGAACAAAATATATTTTAGTTCTTTAGGCTACTTTAATTTTAGAAAAATAAAGTTAAATTCCACGCGGACGAAGTCGCGGGAACAACTAGTTTATTCATTTAGGACATTTTAGCCGCTTACTATTTTACTCTGATTGTAGCACTTTCCCGCTAAAACTAGATTATGTGTGTATGGTATATTTTTTTGTATATATATATGTATATATGTAGGGCTGAAGGTCGTGCCCAGGCGTGCCTTGGGAGAGGCCTACGTCCAGCAGTGGACTGCAGTGGGATAATGATGATGATGATGTAGGGATGTATATGTATGACGGCCTCGGTGGTCTAGTGGTTTAGCACATCGCTTTAATTCCGATGGTCGCGGGTTCGATTCCTCGCACGGCACAAACATTTGTATTCATGAGAATGATTGTTAGTATCGGTCTGGGTGTTTTCTATGTAAAATATGTATGTATTTACGAAAAAAAATATCTATGTATTTGTATCAGTTGTCTAGTACCCATAACACAAGCTTTAGCTAGCTTAACTTGGGTCTAGATGGCGCTGTGTGAATTGTCCTGAGATTATTATTCTTTAATACCGTGCATGAACAACTTCATGCACTCTCGTCAAACTGATATGATAGATTCAAATATTAAAATTTGGAATTCCCAGACGTGTTTTTTTTTTAAATTTCTGTACGGTCTAAGTGTGTTTTAATTATTCCATTTTTAGCTCGTCAGAGCCGTAGAAATCCACAATTATATAAAGAAAGGTGAAATACAAGTCATTGTTTAATCAAATGTAATCGGATACAATGGCATCATAAAATTTCTAAATTTACAGCCGCAGGGTCTCGCGTATAAGATTTAATACTAGCTGTGCCCGTGACTTCGTCCGCGTGTTACAGTGACCTCAAGGTTTTCTATATTTGGTCAACCAAACAAGAACACACAAGAAAAAAAGAATCCCCGTTACAGTTTCAAAAATGACGATTTCCTATACAAACTTTCATCCCCTAATTTTTAACCCCCATAAGGGTAAGATTTTTACAAACTTAGTCATATTTCGTTATATTTAATGAACAGCCTAAAAAATAAGATTCATGATTCTAGTTTTAAACATGACGATACTTCTATAGAACCCTTCATCCCCCCCTTCAACCCCTTGCAACCCTTTATTCGCATTAAAAAGCAGCCTATGTCCTTTCTCATGGTCTAGACTATCTGTGTACCAAATTTCATTTAAATCGGTTCAGTAGTTTTGGCGTGAAGGTAAGTATTTTAATTCTGTTTAATAACAATTAATAACTTGAAATAATATTTTCTATATCTATAATTGTTGTCATATTGACATTTTCTATATTCGAACATTATAATGATGTATGTTTGAATGTGTGTATTTTTTAATAATATATTTTATTACTAACTTAGCCTGTGACTTCGTCCGCGGGTAATAGAGATCTTGACCAAATAAAGAAGAAATATTTAATAGTCTAACACAAAGAAAGCAAAGAAAAAAAAATCTTTAAAATGACGAATTTCCATATAAACTTTCGTCCGTTTTTTAGTTATTTAATTTTACCCCTTCAAGGCATTTTTGTACAAACTTTTAATGTTTTATTCATTTATATTTGATCAACAGCCTAAAAAACCTTCTGAGCTTCTAGCTTTAAAAAAAGACACTTGCATACGATCCGTCATCTCGCCTTCAATCCTTTTTTCGCATTAAAAAGTAGTCTATATCCTTTGCCAGGACGTTCTTGTCTAAAGTATCTATATACATTTCATTAATATCGGTTCAGTAGTAGTGGCGGTGACGATGCTCCGCAGTGGTGGATAGGAAATGCATCTTACTTTATTATTATTTTTTCTCGACTTTCGCCGGTAATCTTGGTATGTACGGGCCTAAGCCAAGTACATAACAATGTTCTATCTTAGGTGGATATACCATAATATATATATATATATATATATGTATATTTTTTATCTCAGGACAATTCACACAGCGCCATCTAGACCCACAAATGTATTTTTCAATAAACTTTAGATGTAAAGGTTCCAAGTAGTTTTTTGTGTC